TAGGGTGGTGGGTGAAGAGTGGGGAGGGAAGGAGCGAGCTTTATAGACAAGGACGGGTTGGGCCTGCGGGGGTGGGCTTGAATGTGGTCGGCGTTAGGTGGGGCTTTTTGGTCATCTGCTGAGTTTGGGCGAGTAGTGGTTGCGGTTTTGAACATTTGCCGTTTGATACGACGGCCACAAGATTCTGATGAAAACTCAACCCATCCGATCTCAAGAGTGGGAGAGTGGGGTTGGTGAGGGACACCACAGATGTCAAAAGATGGTTTCAATGTGTCAAACTGTACCTTGTATTTCTTAGTCTCCAATTACCACGTGCCACCTTAGCATTTTCTGTGTATTCCTTGTCTCTTCTTGTATTTCAATGTGTCGCACTGTACCTTGTATTTCTTATTCTCCAATTACCACGTGCCGGGTGCATGATCTTGCTAATCACTCGAAAACATTATCTTTCTCGTTGTGTAAATAATGTTTGAATTATTATTTTTATTTTAAACAAAATAAATTTCTGATCATTGATTAATTATAGTGAATCAAAATAAATTTTGTCATTGATTTATTATGATAAATAGTACGTGACATGACAAAACATTATATTATAATAAATTAATGTCGCATTATATTTTTTTAAAAAAAGTATATCATATTAATTATATATAAAATAATTAATATTATTTTAATTAATAATAATTAATTATTAATTATAAAAATATATTTAATTTAAAATATACAATATAAACAATTCAAAACCTGTTTAAAGAATGATGCGTCCATTAAATGAATGAGATCTGAAAACCGAAGGCAAAGAAAGTTAACGAAATTTGATAATTTTGTAAACAATACTATCACAAAATGAATTTAAGCGAGTTTGGTTTTATGTTAATCATGTTTTATGTATTAATTGTATCGATAGAATTAAGATATATATAAATTATATCTTAATTAATTATGTCAAACCCGCTTATCTATTCATATGAGTATTAATATTCTGATGATGATTAAGATTTATTGAAGTTAAATTTTATTATATTAGATAAATAGTATGATATATATAATTTTTTATTATAAATTTAAATAATAAAATTATATTTTAGTTGTACATATTTTAATTTTAATTATCATAAAAATATTAATATTTATAAGAATTAATAAATAAATTTTAATCATATATTAAACATATTTATATAAATAAATAAATCGTCAATAAACGAGATACAGAAAATTGAGGTGAGAGAGTGAGGCGATGGGCCAAAGGGTGCGGGTGAAAAGATGAAATATAATTTGGGTGAAAGTATGGAATATTTGAGGCGGAAGTTACCCAACTTTATACAATATAAAACTGCAAATTGCGAAAGTGAGGTGATGCATAAAAGACACTGACAATTCGGCGGGATGAGATCATTTGCCCATGACCAGTCTAAAATTTTAAAATTCCAAGCAAACCAAATATTTTACTAGTGTATCATTATCACTATTATTTATTATAAGAGAAGAGACAAGTCAAAGCTGTCCTATTCAATATTGTCAATATTGATATAAACTTTCAAGATTTTAAAGTTA